CTTGTCTCCTGACCTAGGGAGTCTGAGATACGAGCCAGCAGGGGTCTCTAGCCTATGCCACATGACCTATAGATTTTGGATTTGTTTATTGTTTTGGGGAAAAAAAATCTGTATTTTGGATATTTTATATTGATTGAACAAGTTTCAATTTACAATTTAAAATAACTAATCAAACTTATTTAAAGACAGGTTTTGGACCTTGTCAGGATTTTTCATCTGTCCTTTCATGGAGGGAACTAAGGCAGAAAACAGAGAGGAGTTAGGGACCAAACAGGAATGAGAAAAACGGAATCCTGGGTCACGAGTTCCATTTAGTTGTCATCGTTCTTCAGTCTCCTTTCCTCTGGACACTTCCCCCCGCTTCCCTCATCTTTCCTGACCTTGACATTTGATGAGTACAGGTTGGTAATTTTGCAAGCAGTCCCTCAATTTTTATTTCCAGCTAATTTTTAAAGCTTTTTCTTGGCTGTTCCTTCCTCAGAGAATCATTCTCTAAACCCGCAGACTGGGCCAAGCTTCCATCATGTTCTTTCATTGCATTCCAAACTCTTGATTGCACTTGCAGTTGATTCTGTGGAATCGTGTTTAACATCTGATGTCCTGTTTCAGTCAGAATAGGCAAAGTTATGCTGCAGCAGCAAGCAGCAAGTCTCAGTGGCTTAAGACAAAATGCTTTCTTTCTCACTCACCACATGACCACCTTGTGTTGGCAGGTGGCTCTGCTGTTGCAATCAATCATGGGACCCAGGGTGATGGAACAGCCATCATTTTGTGCAAAGCCAGCCACTTAGCTACAAAGACTTCTCAAGCATCTTGAACAGGCAATTGAATGCTTGCTCCAGATGTGATGCTGCTGTGTCTTTTTAGAACTCTTTGGCCAGGACTAGTTCCATGCCCAACCACGAGGTGGGACCGGAGTGTTTTCCAGAAGCACCAATGACTTTTACTCTTCCCAAACAGGCTTTCAGCTTGTGAGAGCTGCTGTCTGCTCTGTTTGTTTTAACCAATGAACTTAGCATGTACAAGCTTGATACAAATACTTGTTAAATGGTTTTCACTTGAGGACTGACCTAAAGGTTGGCAGTTTGAGCTCATCCAGCACCATGGTGGAACAAAGACCCAGTGATCTGCTTCGGTAAAGACCACGGCCAAGAGAACCCTATGGATCAGTTCTATCCTCTAACACATGGGATCACCAAGAGTCAGAATTTACTCTATGGTAATGGATTCGGCTTTTTGTGTTTTCTTAGCAAAAGAAATAACATATACATACTTACAGCAAAAATAAAAATCCAAACTAGGTCCTCACTCTGGGATTTAATCAAGATTAACTGACCAGAAAGAAGACAGAGGGGCAGGGGCAACCTGGACTTACCTGTTGTGCCCATTGCTTTTTTTCCTCTTCATGTTGCTGGAGAATTCTAGTAAAATCCTTCTGGTGCTGCTCAGTCTCCTCACATACACAGAGGTGGGCAGTTGTGGCTAAAGATAAGGGAAAAAAAAATCACAGAGAGTAATGGTGGCATCAGCATCCCACCTGAGCCTGCAGAGAGTTGGGAGGCCAGGGAGAAGGGGTGAGAATGTGAGAATCCTGGTTTCCGCTGCAAAAAAGGTTTCAGTTGGCAACTAAGCTCCAGAGGCAGCACTCTGGCTTTGGAGACCTCCTTCCATTCAGGAGCTGGTGATCTCGTACTGTCCCTTAGTATTTACAGCAGAGGCGGTAGCTCTCAGGATGGATTAAGCTCATGGAGGTGTTTTACTTGCTCTACCCAATATTCAAATTTAAAAAAATTAATTGCTGGTATTTAATAACTGGTAAATGTTTGCATCACAAGAGAGGTTTCCAATTGTTCTGGAAGAATCCAAAGAGCTGAACACCTAGGCCAGTATGCCTTTGAGTATACCAAGAGCTGGACTGAAGGAGCCCCATCTCCCTACTGAGGACACGTATAAGGGCCACATCATCATTGGCTTTGCCAGCTGGGTCCTGTGAGCACCTAAGGATGTGGTTCTCTGACCTGTAGCACCTCCCCACTTGGAAAGACTACTTGTGAGCATGAAGGACACCAAGTGTGACCCATCCTCTTGGTACCCCAGCTATATACTTGGTAACATCAGGCCAATAAGGGTACCCACACCAGTGAGCTATTGAGAGGATTCCATCAGAAAACTATGGCAATAATAATAACCCGGAGAGGTAAAGAAGACTGAGAGCTTACCACACAGGTACCCTCACAACAATCACTGTAGTGGATACTATAATCATAACCACTTCACAGATGAGGGTACTGAGACTCAGAGAACTTAAACAACTTGCCTAAGATCGCCCAGTGCACCATCAACTGAGAGAGTAAAGATATGAATCTCCACCATCTGATTTCACAGCAAACACTCTTAATAGCTGTCTTATTCTGCTTCCTTGACCACAAAAATAAATAAGGGAAGTGCCAGGCACTTTGAAGATGTTCAATAAATGTTACCTATCCATGCTCATGACAAACATCATAGACTAACACCAGTATTGTTAACAGAATTCCATAGGCAGCATCTGCAAAGGATATGGCTAGGAGTCCTAGTGTGGTGCTGTAGGATAAGCACTGAACCACAAGGTGGTTTGAGCTGCAAGACTCTCCAGCCACTCCTCAGTGCTATGAGTCAGAACCGACTCAATGACTCAACAGTATTTAATAATAACTACAAGATAGGTAGCATCTGCAAAGGGTATGGCTAGAAGTGAGGACCCTGAAAGAGGGCTGGTGAGAGAGAAGCCAGCATTGTTGTCAGTTCCATCAGGATAGGACAAGAAGAGGCCTCATACTCCTGGGTCCTAGGCTCCCAGAGGCTGTGAGTGGTTAAGATTCTGGGATAGTAACAGCCAAGATGAGAGATCCTCAGATTCTCACAAATGATTTGGCTCAGGGTCCCAAACACGGGGCCATGAGACTAGCAACAGATTGGCAACAACAGGAGAGAAGCTGTTCACATACAATATCCCCAGTAACTGGTCATCCAGTCTGTGCTTAACCACCCCTTTGGAGATGGGGAGTTCATTATAGTACTAGGGAGCACTGATGGTTTTAATCAGTTACCACACACAAAATCCTTTGAAACTGTGTTGAATTCTGCCTGCCAGTTCTTGCTACTGTGAGACTCTGGTACTGCCCTCTGGGTAACATCAAACAGGGGGCTCATCTTTCTTCTCTACTCGGACACTTTGGACACTTGGCGAGAACGGCTGTATTTTATGACATCTTTCTAGATGGAGTATTGTCTGTTCCTTCAACCGCTCCTTACAGCACATGTTTCCAGATCCCTAAAAGCCTGAACTTTCAACACTGTACACCTTCCAATGTTTTTGTGTTCTTCTAAAATGTGCTTTCCAGAAACAAAGGTGCATTAGCAGCTCAGAACTGAAAAGCACTGGTCAAGATTATTATCACTTCATTGATTTTAGATATGATACTCCTACTAATGTAACCTAGTTAAGATCTCAAAGAGCTCTGGTAGCGTAGTGGTTATGAATCGGGCTGCAAACCTTAAGGTCAGCAGTTCGAAACTACCAGCTGTTCCGCAGGAGAAAGATGAGGCTTTCTGCTCCTGTAAAGATTTCCAGCTTCGGAAACCCTGTACAGGGTTGCTATGAGTTGGAATAGACTCCACGGCACATAACCACCACCACCACTTAAGATCTCATGGAATGGATAAGTAGTTATGTCATCTTTGTTGATTATAAGGTAAGAAATCTCCTGAGTGTTAGTAGGGGCATTTATGAGGCTGGCCACTCACCTGAGTCCTCATTGATGGGGCCTAGTTCCTGGGACACTGGTCTGCATGGCTGTTCTGGTTCTTGGTGCCTCTGTAAGAAGCGAGACATCAGTGAGGTGAGGGTAGAGGGTGGGAGGGCAATGTGAGGATTGATGCTAAGGTAGAAGTCTTCCAAAGGCAAGATAGGGCTTCCAGTTACTCCAGACCCTGTCCTATGCCTGGTTTGCTTGGCTCAAGGCATCACTCTTTCTGCCTAGGGAAGAAATTCTTATGAATGGTTTGTAATTGACCTAGTGTGCTGCTGTAGGAGAAACATTGGACTGCTAACTACAAGGTGTCAGTTCAAGCCCACCTGTTGCTCTTTGGAAACCTTATACAGGGTTGCTATGAGTTGGAACTGACTGGATAGCACTTAACAACACTAACCTAAAGGTTGGCAGTTCAACCCAATGCCACCACAGGAGAAAGGCTTATAACTGCTTCCATAAAGATCACAGCATACCAACAACAACAACAATGCATAGGTTGCCATGAATTGAAATTGACTTGATGGTAACAGCTTTTTTAAAAAAATGATTTTTATTAATTTGCCTTTCTATTGATCCTTGCAACCTGGCTTCTGCTGTTGTCCATGGAACAATCTTTCCCACCTCTTCCTTGTCCCAGGACTTGGCCAGGCCTTTTGCTATAAACCTTATCCTGACTGCGGCCTTGGAGTGTCCTAAAATCTCCAAACACTGGTCCAGAAATGATGCCCTTCCCTATTAGGACAACTTCCAGTCAAGCTCCCCTCAAAGTTACGTGACATTGGGGCCAGAGCATCAAAAGTTCCAGCCACAGTTTTGCTACATGTGCACTCTGTTAAGAAGGGGCTATTTCCTCATCTGTAAAATGGAGATAGTACTTACATTACAAGATGAGCAGATAACGGAGGAAATACGGTCTATCTTATGTACATTATCTTATTTAATCTTCATAACAATCCTGTGAAAGATGAATATCCCTTATTTAAAGATGTGGAGAGTGAGGCTAAGTGAGATTAGTGCGTGACCAAGGCAGTTTAGGAAACAGCTGGCAGAATCAGTGTTGGAATCATACCTGTGGGCCCTAGCACTTTCACCAACCTTGTCGTGGTGTGGTGCTATAGGACAAGCTAACCACACATTATCTACCACCACAAGCAGTGGATAAACCCACCAGTTCATCCTTGGAAACTCTGTGCAGGGTTGCTATGAATCGGAACCGACCTGACATCATAACAAAACTCACAGTCAATAAGGGTTGAATCTGATCAAATGAGTCATTTTTTAAATGGAGAATTTATAGGGGCTTGTCAAGCAAAGACAGAAAAAAAAAAATATTCACAGACTATCACTATTATTTCACTAAAAAAAACCACACACAACCTTTCAAAACATAGTAAGGAAAAGAACGTTCAAGACTAGTTCTTCCAGGAAGTGCTAAGGGACACCCTTATACAAGATTACACACACATTCACATCTTTGTTTTTCTCATTTCACCCTAGATAGTTAGAAAGTTGGTTATGGTCTGGCACTGATCACTGGACCCGGATTTGGGATGGTACAAAAACCTTAAGTTCTTTTGTATACTTTTCAAGATATCTTAGACTCCAGTGTAAGAAACACTTAAAAAAAAAAAAAGCCAGCCTATGAAAATGCCTTAGTGAGCTTTTATTACACAGTGAAGCTGCGGGCTAAGTGCTGGACTGCTAATGACAAAGTCGGGGATCCAAATTCACCAGGCGCTCCACAGGAGAAAGTGAGGCTTTCTGCTCCCGTAAAGGTTTACAGCCCTGGAAACCTTACACAGTCCAAACTGACTCCACAGCACTTAACAATAACAACAACATTGAAATAAAGTATGTTAAGATTTTTCTGAACTCAAGAAGCACTGAAATATTGCCAGACAGCATAGAGCAGACAGGGGAAGTTAGGTGAGTCCTCAGGGAAGGTATCCAGAGGGAGTCTGCTCCTCCACACAGTGCCCAGCATGGGCTAAGCCCCACTCTGGGATGCCCTAGTCCCTGATGTACTAGATCTACTCCAGGGTTGGGCAGACCCAACAATTTAACTCTACAAGCACCCATGTGAAGAAGACTCAACCCTTCCTTCCTAGCTGGGACTTGGCTCAGTCCAGAGAAGCTGTCAACACAGGAATCCGGGGAAGTGACAGGAAGCCGGGGAAGCCACTTCTCTGGGATGGAGAAGGCATGGGAATAAAAAGTAAATGGATGTTCAGTGAAGCCACTGGTTATACTGAACCAGGGCACTGCTGTCACTGGAAGGAGAGTTCCTGGGTCCCAGTGTTGGAGCTGCTAACTTGGACAAGTCACTTCCCCCTTTGGGCTTCAGTTTCCTACTCTTGAGGTAGAGGTGGTGGTGGGGAGTGTGTGTGTGGGGGGGTAGGGGTTTACCTCCATGACCCACTAGCATTCAACCTCTTAGCATCTGATCTCAGCTCTTCTGACAGGGTTGTGAGGCAAGGCTTAGCCAAAGAAACAGACTCAGAGGGCAGAACTGGGCCACACTGTGCCTGAACGCCTAATCCGCATTAGAATGCAGGTCTCAGAACATTAAAGGCTGTAGAGCAGAGTAGTTAAGAACTCTGGAGTTCTAGAATCACCGGAATCCAAGTTCCAGTCCTAGATGCAGCGCTGTGACGGTATGATCTCTCCCAGCCTTGATTTCCCCACAAGGTTGTTTTACGGATTAAATGAGATAATACACTTACATTGACTACTCTCACTGAGAGCTCATATATTGCCTAGGGTTATTAGGTATATTTCAAGTAATAGCAAGACTAGAGATCCCACAGTGCTTTGGTACACCTCAGAGGCTGCCATAGGACTTCCGGTTTTGTCTTCTGAAATAAAATCATAAGCTCACAGAAAACTGTCTTCTCCCAAATAATAACCACCATAAACCAATAACCAATCGTGAGCTAACTCACTCATGATGTCCCCATATGTGTCAGAGTGGAACTATGATCCACAAGGTTTTAAATGTCTGATTTTGGGCAGTAAATCACCAGTACTTTATTATAAGGCACCTCTGGGAAGACTCAAACCTTCGACCTTTGGATCAGCAGTCAGGCATGTTAACCATTTGTATCACCCAGGGACTCCAACAGAAAGCTGAAAAATTCTTCTCTACGAACAGCTTCCAGGCCATAGACAAGAATGACCTTGCGTGTGAGTCCCCAAATTCTGAAAAAACTGTCCCCAGGATAATTCCTTTAGAATGGCATCCAAGGCTCCTCACCGTTTATTCCCAGTCTGTCGTTTCCTCCATTTCCTTGAAATTTAAATATATATAAACATATTTTTCGAATTACAATAGTGGACAGCATTCACATGTATGGAAAATACAGTAAAACATAAAAAGATAACCCCTGGATGTGTGGTATATATAGTTCACATACATGTTTATTATATATCCATAGCTTATTTTTAAAAAAATTCTGAGCATTTGCTACACAGCATTAACTATTTGTAATCGGTCACTTTAGTGACTCTGGACAGGAACATCCCTATCAATGAATTCAATAATTTAATCAATAATCTAGTGTTGAGTATTTCAACAATGTGTTTTGATTTCCAGTTATACTTTAATGAATATCCTGGTGAATAACATTTTTCATGCATCTAAAATTACTGACTCTGCTCTCCAAAGGGGTCTCTAGGTGACACACAGTTAAGTGCTTGTATGCTAACTGAAAAGGTTAGAGATTCACGTTCACCCAGAAGTGTCCAAGAAGAAATGTCTGGCTATCTACTTCCAAAAACTCAGCCATTGAAAACCCTAGGGAGTACAGTTCTACTCTGACACTCATGGGATCATCATGTGTGCCAGAGTAAACTTGATGGCAACTGGTTTGATTTTTTTTTTTTTTCTGTCTTCTCCAGAAAGACTGTACCAATTTCCTCAACCATAAACAGTAAACTTGGCGCAAGGGAATACATGTATTATCACTTTTATGTTGTTGTTAATGTTGGTGAATTTGTTAGGATAAACCTAAATCAAAACCTAGTGTTGCCTATTGTTCTTCTGGCTTCAACACATATGCATGTATTCACACGGCATCCAAGTTGCTCAAGACCAGGCCAGCATGACATCTCTCCAGTTCCTACTCAGGCCTTCAGATCCAGCTCACTCATCAATTCTCCTCTGACTTGTCCAGCCTTCTCCACGGCTGAGTTAGTCCTTATCTTCTCCAGAAACGCAAGAGAGGAACTACCTGCCTGGTGGTGGTGGTTGTTGTTATGTGCCGTGGAGTCGGTTCCGACTCATAGAGAGGGTTTCTGAGGCTATAAATCTACGGGAGCAGAAAGCCTCATCATTCTCCCACAGAACAGCTGGTAGTTTCGAACTGCTGACCTTAAGGTTTGCAGCCCGATTCATAACCACTACGCTACCAGAGCTCCTTAAGCCTGGTGGTTAGCTGTCTGTTTTTCCTGTTAACCTAAGGGGTTGCTTGAGGACAGGGACCAGTTTTGAAACTCAGTTGGATCTGCCCAGTATCTGTTAGGATGTCCAGAACAATGCTTCTAGGAATGTAGTCTCTATGGACTTCTGATATTAGAACCACCTGGAGTGCTTCCGTAATAGAAATCCTCAGGCCAAATTCTAGATCTACAGAACTCAAGGAGGTAGGAGTGCTGGGAATCTCCATTTTTATTAGTCTTCTCTGGGGATTGGGATGCTCAACAGCCTGACGACAAATGATCTAGATCAGAGTAGGAATCAGTGAGTAACCATCACATGGAAAACCCCCAGGTTAGGTCCTGTCCACTTCCTCCTCAGCGGTCATGGTGCAAAGTTCACCCTGCCACATGGTTTGGGAGACTGGGGAAGATGAGAGGTGGGGGGAACGACACAAGGATTTCCCCTTCCAAAAACTAAGGGGGTGGTGGATGTGGGGTGGAGCATCCGGACTGAACTCTGGAATAGGGATGATGTTTCCTGTGTCCAGTGGAAACTTAGGAGCAAGAAAGCTGCAGAGAAGGCAGCTGTCAGCTCAGGATGCAAGGAGAGCCCAGGACTGGTTAGAGGCCAGGAAACCCACTCCAA